TTCACCTTTAACACTTAATGCACTTAACATTAAGTGATTAAGGGGTTGATATGAAGAAGATCCTATTTTATTTTGATTAGATGTTGACAGCTTCAGCTCAACAGCTCAGAAGAAATGGATGACGAACTCTTTTCATACGAGCTATTTCATAACTTCTCTAGAGCTATCTAAGGATTTAACAATGCCAATACTAACAATACCAATACCATTTTGTATTAGCGGATATTGGTATTGGTAGCTTACTAGGAAAACTTAATTCCTCAATTTCGAGAAACCAACTATAGATTCGGGCTTCTCGACCCCGAAAACCTCTAATCAAACTTTATAAAAAGTCGTTACTTTCGCAAAATAGTTTTTCTTTCACGAAAAAATGAAGATTCTGTAATTAATCCATCAAAATTTTTGAGTTTGATTTTCTTTGATACGGAAAGGCTATTTTTCAAAAATAATGGTTTTCTATAAAGTTTCATCAAAGGTTTCTGGGGTCGAGGAATCTGAAATTATAGTTGGTTTCCAGAAATTGAGGGTTTAATTTTTCCTGGTAAGCTATTAATACCTTATTGATATTATTACATTCCTATTTAGGACTACCTATGGGTGATCCAGAGCTAGTCGGAGAGGACCATATTGTCTTAATGCGACTTAATTAAGTTAAGTTATTAAGTGATTTTACTTAGCACTTAATATTAAGAAATTAAGTTTTTACGTAACACTTAATTTCTTAATATTAAGTGCTAAGTAAAATCACTTAATAAGTTAACTTAATTTAGTCGATTTAAAAACAAAGGTCCACCCCTAGTATGTCGCTAAGATCATTACTTTTCCTCGAACATATGCTTTTATATTGTCAAAGTGCGTACAAATTAGTTAAAAGAACTGCATTCATATTGTATCCGTATTCTTATTGATAGAGGACAACGCTCGACTCATAAAAGTTCATGCATATTACGACATACCTCCGAAAATAATTGAGCGTAAACTTTTCAGACGATGGGGTTGATTCAAGTTTTCCAAAAATTCACCCAATAATAATGCGAGCATAGGTACAATTTCGAGAGATGTAATCTGTTTTTCTTGTATAACAGCAGATAAATAACTCATATCTAAGTTACCATTAACGTGCAGCATAATTAAAGAAGCACCTTTGATCAAAGAACCCACTATTTCTCCAATATGAACATCATATGAAGACTGTGCTAATTGAATAATATTATCATTTTGAGACCAAACCTTCAGAGAATAGTAGGAATCGTTGTAAAACATGAAGTTCTCCTGTGAAATTTGTATGGCTTTTGGTGCTCCTGTGGAACCAGAAGTAAAGATGATAAACGAAAAATCTTGAATGGACATATCTAAATTTGATAATGTATCTGCCTGATCGTTACTACAGAGTTGCAAGAAGTTGGTAATAATAAACTCTGTCACGTCAACTATATTTGAAATGTGTTGACTATTTAAATTTTCAAATTGCTTGAATGTCTGCGAATGAACTAGCAAACAAGATGTTTCAGTGCTTTTAACCAATGACTGCAAGCGTAATTCAGGATCATTTGGATTCAGAGGACAATAGCATGATCCACATGCTAATATTGCTAGAATACCGATAACCATTTCAACTGAACGTTCAACACATTGGCATACAATTTGACCATGCTTGACACCGCATTGCTGATTGAGATGAATAGATAAGTGCTGCACACAATGGAGAGCTTCTGAATATGTTAGTGATTGTTCATCTAATATTATAGCGAGCTTTTGTGGATGCTCCATGACTCTTTGGAGAAATGCTTCGTATATATTTTGTTTTCTGTGCCTAAAATCAACGTCCGCTCGCTGTAATTCATTTATGAACTGCATTTCGTATGGCAAAAGAATCGATAACTCATACACAGGTTTGGTTTTAAGATCAAAGGATGATGTAGGAGAAAATAACTGCATCAATAAAATTTGATATTGTTCAGCCATTAATTTTATTGTTTGTTCATCAAACAAGTCTGCTGAATATTCGAAAAGACATGATAGACTCTGCCGATGAATATCATGATTCATTGATAATGTTAAATCGAATTGGGATGCGTTTTTGGTAAATGATATCAAATTAGTATTTTTTAATTGGCAAAGAAGAGCATCATCTAAATCGATAAATTCTTGATTTGATGATGATTCAAAATGGAATGTGGTCTGAATCAATAATGCTAATAAAAGTTTGTGACGTTGTTGTTTTTGAATCAATTGTAAGATGTTCTGATACGGCAAATATGAGTTTTGAAATATTTCTAGACTCATTTGTTTCACTTTTAGAAGTGTCCTATAGAACGGTGCCGTGGGATCTAAACGTAAACGATAAGGTAATGTATTCGCAAACATTCCAATCAAATTTTTTAATTCATAACGATATCGATTGAGATGAATGCTCCCAACGCATAAATCTACATCACCATTTGTCAACTTATAGAGAAATAAATAATAAGTTGTTAAGCCAAGCTGAAACATGGTTGTTTGTGCTTCATTCGCATGTTTGAACATATGATGAATGACATCATGATCTAATTGGAATTGAAATGATGATCCTTTACCTGTACGAAGTTGTCGAGTAGCTGATTTGCCATTAACTATATTCGAGTATCCTAATTGTAATGATTTATCTGCATCATAGTCATTTAATAAGTCTTTCCAATATTCTTCTGCTGCAGATGTATCAAGCTCTCGTTCTTGTACAGAATAATCGATATACTGTAGTAATAGATTTTCATAGTGATTCTTTGTGTATGCTAATTGTAAATCATCAAGAAACAAATCAATAGAATTACCATCAAATGCGATATGATGAAAGTTGAATAAAATCATATCGTTTTCTTCTAACCAATCTTCATCTTTCTTATTGAATCGAATCAGATGGCATCGAAAAACCAGCCCTTTTGAGAAGTCAAAATAATTCGGATTTGTTTCTTCGTCAAGCAAAATTTTCTCTAAATCTTCTTTCGATGATGTATAGCTCGTTTGGAACAAGTAATAATTACTTTCATTTACTAGTGGCTTAATAGATTGTTTTAAACATTGTTGCTCTGTCTCATATGTCAGAGATGTTCTTAAGACGCTGTGCTTTTGTAATATTAACAAAAATGCATCCGTTAGTCTCTTTCTAGACACGTGACCCTTAATAATGCGAAGGACAAGCGGAACATTGTATATTGCAACTGTGTCCTCTTGTTGTTTATCGAATCTTGTGTGTTCATCTAGCCACAGTCGTTAATGATAATTCGAATATGAGGTAATCTGATCAAGTGCGTCATTCATTGTGAGTATTCTCTCAACATGGTGAACAGGTATACAAGACTTTTTGACTAATTGACTACATCAGTATTTGAACAACGGGTTCTTGAGCGTACGATGCTGAAGCTTAATATAAAAGCAAAGAGTGCATAAGTATCAGTGAAAATTGCAAAAATAATCTGACCAATAGCAAAAACGTTTTCAATATCTTTCATACAGATGCTGCATTTACATCTCATAAGGGGAGTTGCAGGTTCGCCAGTGTGACTAATCGATATGAATCAATGTTATACTAATTTGTAGAAGTTGTTGCGATTGGAAGAAGCAGAAAATAACTCGTCACTATACGATGTCGTTCTCGAGTTATGATCTTTTTGTTAGATTTTCGATATACTACAAGCCATTAATGAAAACACCATAGAATTATCGCCTGAAACTTTGCGTCTCAATATGTGTCCTCGTTATTAAACTGCTCTGAAATTGCTATCCAAAAGAATATGTTTTTTTTAAATGTCGAATATGGAACACACTTGATCTTCAGATCTACCTTTGTTATACATGCTCGTTGGTGAATATACAATATCCCTAGAAAAAAGTCGCTTTTTGCAGCTAAATTTTTGAAAGCATCCTAATGAAAATGAAGCCTAATCGTAGGCAAGATTTCACATAAAAAAATCTTTGGTTTAGTTTTTTTCATAAATACTTTGCTGAAGATCGAAAATCAAGTAAAACCATCATAGCTCAAGAACGTATCAGGCCGAATCCTTTTCGTCTTTTAGTCCCATCGAGCTCTAAAAATGGGCATGGATCTTATTCAAAGCGACTAGCTATAATTAAATGTCCCATTACATAAGAAAGTGAACAAATTCGCATTATTATCTGACTGTTGTAAACTTTTTTAATTCAAGGAAAAGGTCTGCAGTATAAATAATAGCAATACATTCTGACATTCGAATTCAAAACAAAAATTAGAGGTATGGAGAAGGCTCAGTGTGCGCTAATAGATAAATAAAGCAGCGGAAGCAGACACTGAAGATAATGAAAAGTAAGCGTAGGCAACTTTTCATTTTCAAAGAGAAAAGTACACTTCAATTTTTCACTTCTAACCAATGAATTTGAAAAGCAAAAGATTGATTTATTTGTTTATGTAAGAATCTGATGAATAGCCTGTTAAATTCGGGATGTGAATGGGATAACTGTATTACCTTCACAGACGTTCAAAGTTTTCCATCGTTGCTTCACAGTATTGGAATCTTGATCATCATCTTCCTCTAGTTCTAATATCAGTTTGACATGATCAACTAAAGATGATGCATTCAACAATTGTGAAACATTCAAACTTTTCTTAAAAGAAAATTGTGAATGATATATGTTGTATAGTTTCATTACTGTTATTGAATCACCGCCTAATTCCAAGAGATTTTTAGTCATGGATATATTGTTTAAGTTAAAAATTTTGCACCAAATGCTGTGTACTACAGTTTCGAGCCTGGTTATCGGTTCAATTGTTTCGATTTTTGCTTGTAATCTTCTAAAGTCCGGTTTCGGTAGCTGCTGCCGAGCAACTTTGCCATTGGAATTCAGAGGAAATTCGTCTAGAATAATGAACATAGATGGAATCATATAAGATGGTAACCAAGAATGGCAATGTGCTTTTAAATGACTTTCTAACACTTGTTTATCCTCTGTTGAAGTTGATTGTATATATGCAATTAAATGATCCTCCTTTGTTTTTTCATCGTTTACTTTGGTAATGGTACAGTTGGAAATTTCGAACGATAATGAACCGTCCTTAAGAATAATTTGTTCGATTTCACCAGTTTCAATACGTTGACCTCTAAGTTTAATCTGGAAATCTAGACGCCCTACGAACTGAATTTCACCGTTAGAGTCTAATTTGACTAAATCACCTGTCTTATACCATTTTCCTTCTCCAGAAATATTCACTAATGCTTGTTGCGTTAAGTTCGGATGACCTAAATAGCCATGAAAAACTCCTATGCCACCAATATACAATTCACCAGTCAGAGCAGGTTGCAAGTAATTATCTAGAATAAGACACTGATAGTTGGGTAGCGGACGGCCTATTGGTATCGTTATTTCACATAGATCTTGCAATTGTACCAAATGATAGGTAGAAACAAGAGTAGTCTCAGCTAAAGTATGATTTGGAAATAAACATTAACTAACAAAAAGAAATGCAGTCTTCAATCTTACCTGGACCATATAAATTATAAATCTTACACATCGGATGCAAGTAAGAAGCTAATTTTGCCACCGTTTTTGGTATCATTGCCTCACCTATAGAACAAAAACATCGTACAGTTTTTGCGATGTTGTCTTTTTTCGTTTCCAGATAGTCACATAATATACGTGTTAATATAGGCACAAAAATAATGTACGTTACACAATTATCATTAATTACTTTTGAAACATAGTCCATTTCAAGATTACCATTTGGATGAAGCATGACTAAGGTGGAACTCAATACCATGCTACCTAATATTTCTTGAATATGAATATCAAATGTTGCTGACGTTATTTGGAGAACAATATCATTATTGTTCATTATGTCTAGATACGACAAAGAGTCAATACAACAAATGAAATTTTTATGACAAACTTGGGCCTAAAATAAGAAAACACAGAAAAATAACAATAAGCCAGTAGCGGAAACAAAAAGCAATCATAGCAGTAATTTACCGCCTTAGGTTTTCCAGTAGTTCCGGATGTAAATATAACATAAGCGATAGAATCAATGTTAACATCTCTTCTTGATAATGCATCGAGCGTTTCGTCTGAAAAAGGTTCATGATACTCAAAGATCACTTGTTCAGCTTGTACAAAGTAGATATTGTGCTCAATAGAAACAAAATGACTTCGCGTTAATGAATGAATCAGCACCAAATTTGCGTTTGTGTCTTTAATAAGCATCACCTGTCGACTGGTTGGATCTTTTGGAGCCAATGGACAATAGGAACAACCACAATTCAAAATGGCAAGTATGCCTATAACCATCTCAATGCTTCGTTCCATACACTGGCAAATGATATTTTCAGGTTTCACATCGTGATGTTGAATTAGCCATACTGCTAGTGTTTGTACACAAAAGTACAATTCTGCATACGTCAGTGATTGTTGATCCAGGATTATAGCCATTTTTTGTGAGTGGTCCATCGATTGGCGTGCAAACTTATAATGAATACACTCTGGAGTATTGAACTTAACACATGTTTGATTTAGTTTCTTCATTGTCTCGAGTTCACGTGGTATGACTATTGTCAGTTCGTAGATTCGCTGTGTCTTTATACCGAATATTGAGAATGATTGTCGTAAGAAAAGTTGGAAGCGTTCACATATTGTTTCAATAGCTCTTTTTTCAGACAGATCTACATAACATTCGAACGAGCCCGATAGTGTTGCATCAGCATGATCGTAGTCGACCAATAATAATAGATCAAATTTAGGTAGACTTCGCTTGTTCAACGACTCATAAGTTATATAGGAATTGTCATTGCTATGTGATTCGTTATATAAAATTATGAACTGCATGAATGGTAGCAATGGTTGTTGTTGATCAATAGAGGAAATGGTTTTGATTATTTGTTCCTGTGGTAGATAAGAATAATCCATCATTTGTAAACAAAGTTGTTTGATCTGTAATACTATTTCGTTAACAGTTGCTTCAGGATCAATATGAAATCGATACGGTAAGGTATAGATATCTTCACTAAAACGGAACACTCTTGCACTACCAATACATAAGTCTTCTTCACCATTTGTCAATTTGTGCAAGAAAATCAAATACAAAGCTAATAATAATTCAAACATCGCTATATTTGTCTTTTGCGCATATTTTATCATTGTATCAACTAAATCTTGGCTTAGTTGAAATCCCACTGACAATGTTCTTTCAGGATCATATGCAACATGCGTAAAATGTAGTGGAAAATAGAGTCGCTTATAAATATCATATCCCTTAAACAACTGTTGCCAGTATTCCTTAGCCTGTTCTAAGTAATACCATGCCTCGCCAAACGTGAAACACAGCTTGTTGTTTACTGTGACACTTAATCTCTGCGGATGTTGAATCAGTTGTTCATATAAGCATTCTTGAAGAAAATGTTTTCTCAATTCATCAAAACTCACTTCTTGAATTGACTCGTCTTCAGCCATTGGTGCAATTGTTCAGTAAGTATAATCTGAAACTAGCGATAATGAATGATACCTACAGCGCAAAAATTATGGAGATTGACAATTTAAAGTCGCATATGTCCGAATCAATTCTAAAAAACAAAATTTATTGATAAGGTGCCTCCTCCTCTGAAAGACTAAGAGAGACACTGTTGCCAATAACTGGTAATGTAAATAGAGTACAAGTTGGACTTCTTCGACCGCCCTACGAATCATATCACGTACTTCGTTGTAAGAGAAGGTTTACCAAAACATCACTCTTATAATATAGCTCAACTTACATCGACTGGTTAGAAATTCTTGATCTCGTGCAGGGGTGGCACTTTAACTTTACTTTAAACTCTAACTTTAAACTTTTCAAAGTTAAAGTATACTTTTTTCTATGAAAGTAAACTTTTGTAAGAAATTCATAAAAGTATCAACAACTATTTATGGGCTATGTAACATGACTATTCATAGGTCATTGATTGGT